GACAAGCTTTTAAGCTTACAAAGAGCTCTTCTTCAAGTCCGAGTAAGGTACTAAGCATGTCACAGCTAGACACAAGGTTCCAAGCTCAAAAGCTGGTCTCTCTCACCAACACAAGTTTGTCCAATAAAAGATATTATCTCACCCACCTTGTCACTCTCATACACATATTTAGGCTTTATGTAAACATACAGGTCATCTGCCTAAGCGCTTTGGTCCATTGGGCCCATAGTTAAGATTCACAGAAATATATTGCCAGTCATTTTAAAACTGTTGTTAATTACTAGTTTACAACATTTATTTTGCAAAATTTAATGTTAACAGCAGATTGGTACAGGTAATCATTTTTGCAAACATATACCATATGCCTGATAGAAACAATTACAGTTACCAAGTAGTGGGTTTTGGACCACGTATAGCAGTTATGTCCTCTCATATAATCCCGCTGCTATTCTTGCACATACAATCTACGTTCTAAATATTCTCACAAGGATAGTTTGGTTGAAATTTAGTCACCTAAAATGTATCATGCATGCACAGAAATTAAGATTCTCTCATTATTTGTTGGCTTTCCACTGCTCCCATATAATGCAACAAAATGGACTAATCTGTAAAAAGGTAAAACCATCTGTTTAGTTCTAGTATCATAAAATGCACATTTTCAGTATCTTATTCTTTTCCAAAAATATTAGCTCTCAGCCTTCTTATGATCATATTTTTTAACTCCTGCCTTTATAATGAAAACACTGATTCAAGCCTAAACACTGTAGAATGATGTACATCAAACTACTATAATTCCAAGAGGTGAGGGTGGAGCTTACTCACATAAAAGATTCTTAAATTATTCGCAATTCAGAATTTAGCAGCAAGGGAATTTTTTTGCCCAATTTTTAATGCTTTCCTATCTGTAATGAAAATTCTGCTTCCCAGCAGAGTTTGTAACCTACAACATAGGAGATGCTCCTCAACAATGTATGTAGATATATAACCGAATCTTCTTAAAATTGAAATCGTCACCACTTAATCAGAATAAGTATAAGTATTTTATAATCTTTATAAAAAGAGTGAAAATCATTTAAAATCCTATAGAAACATGACATCTTTTAGGAGCGGATTCTCAAACCTCTGGCCTTGATCCAGCGAAGTACTTAAGCATGTGCTTAATTTTACACATGAATTTTATGGATATTACAAATGCAAAGGTGTCAGTGGGACTGCTCATGTATTTCAAGTTAAGCATGCGAGTATGTGCCTTTGCTGGATCAGGGTCAGAGTGCTCAGCACCTTGTAGGCTTGAGCCCTTGGGCCCTCCCCCAGCAAAGCATTTAACCATATGAACAGACCCATTGGACTACTCACATGCTTACATTTACACATGTGTTTAAAGTATCTTCCTGAAAAGGCTTTACACAGCAACATTGTATTAGCTATAAAATTTTAAGCTGCATATGATTAACACACAGCTTGTTCAACAATGTTATCTGTTGACATTAACTGTTTCTTAAAGCTTAGGGTTGCCTTGTTCTAAGAAATCACTTTTAGAAAGCACAAAAGAAAAAGTTTTAAAAGCTGCTTTGAGAGTATGAAAAGTGATATAACCAAGCCTCATTATGTTCTTCATTTCCTCCTCTGACATCTTTTTACTGACATCTAGAGAGAAAAGAACAAAAAACAAACATCAATCTATTCAAATAAGAATCAATGCATTTTATTTTCTCTCTTAAAAAAAGCTGGAGAAAGCCACAATCAAACGTCTGTATACAAACAGCACTGAAGTTTCTTAAATTTCAGATCCAGATCCAAGCTTTGCTGTTTAAACGTTCTTTTCCATGGAAAATAAAATAATCAAATAAGAAAAGGAGTACTTGTGGCACCTTAGAGACTAACCAATTTATTTGAGCATAAGCTTTCGTGAGCTACAGCTCACTTCATGCTAGTCTCTAAGGTGCCACAAGTACTCCTTTTCTTTTTGCGAATACAGACTAACATGGCTGTTACTCTGAAACCAATAATCAAATAGTCACTTCCCAAATTAGAGCTAGTTTTATTATTTTAGACTGAAGATAATGTGAAAGTCCAACCCTGAAAGGTCCCTAAGAGCTATCATTTCCATCCACAGGAGATTTTCCACACTCAGTGAGGTCACTCCATTTGTGATATGCATTCTTAAAAAATCGTCTATCCCAAACAACAGCTATAAAAACGGGGGGAAATATCAGATACTTACATGCAAATTTAGCAAAGACATGTTAATCCAGGGGTAAAAAAAAAAAGGGAAACCACGTTTCTGTAACAGTGCTGGCATATTGTTTAGTATTAAACTAACCAAGCAAAAAATGTCACAGCAACACTTCATAATGACCATTCTGCTACTGCTGGCCTTTCATTGTTACTATATTTAAATCCTCATTGTGGTCGGAAACATTATTTTATGTATTTCTTACAGCTTCATGTTAAGGAAGTTTCAAAGTTGCTAAATGTATTTTATTCTTTCCTGAAGGGAAAGGATATTTTTAAAAAAAATTGTCTTTTTTTTTTTAACCTGAAAGCTCTACTGCTTTTGGAAACAGCTTGGGTTTTTGTCATGCATGAATTTCTGCTGGACCAAAGACATTCACTAATAAAATTACTATTGTTATAAGTTACTGCATGGCTGACAGCTGAAGTTGAGATGTGACATACTAATGCAGAATGCATCTGTGCTCACAGGAAGAACTCCAGACTTGCCCTGGTGAGCAGGGATGAATGTAGAATTCATGTATAGAAAATTGGTGCACTAGATAAGAAATCAAGATAGATACTTTCCATCTGTACCAGACTTGTTCTGTCTGTGACCTATCCCCCACCCATTCAGAAGAGTTAATTTGACCTGTTTTTTAAGAGCAAAGTTCACAACTCATTTAACTCATGTAAAGGTTTGCTTTTAAAACTGAATTTTATTGGTGCTCTGACTTTTAAAACTTCAAAGTGTAAAACCCAGAATCAGTGTTTGCTTTAGAAATCCATTCTCCATGCTTCTGCCCTTACATCTCTATCCTCAGCTTCTCCTATAACACCTTCCTATCTCTGTGTTCCATTCAAGCCTTCCTCCCGACCATTCTCTTCATTCACTCCCAACTCTGTGCCTTCTTCCTCACTGCCTTTTCAATGCCTGAAGCAGACTTCCAGTTAACATAAACCAATTTCCGTCATGGTCTTCCAAAATACTTCTAAACCACCACAGATTGCATGCAGCATTCCAGTCATAACAGCCATAAAAGTTTGCTTTTCCCATTTGGAACTCAAGGGTGGGGTTTTCCCAAAGCACTCGTCATTGGCCTAACTCTACTCCCACTGTAGTTAATTGGAATTTTAGCATTGACTTCAATGGGAGCAGTTAGGGTAATGCTGAGTGGTTTTGAAAACAACATCCTTAGACTCTAGGGCACAATTGTTTATGTTTGAAACTCTTACCAATTCACAAGAATGTTTCCTACAAGATGATCTTTAGTATTCCATATGGTGCCACAATGCTGGAAATTACTTACACTCCCAGGATAAAAAATTAGTACAGCAACAAAGTGACAAGGGAGGTCTCAAAAGAATTGCTTATAACCAACTGGAAGAACACAGATGTGACGACATCCGGTCTTAATTGTTAAGAGTTGTTTAGCTGACAGATATTGATTTCAGAATGGTACAGGAACCTCTGCTGATGGGTCTGGTGAAAAAGGGCTAAAGACAATTATAGATCAGAGTGATTAGAATGTCATGGCTCTGCATGGTTTTCTTTCTTTCATTCAAACCCACCATGTTCTGAGATTTATCTTTTGCCTTGTTTCCTACAACTTATTTGTAAAGCAGTGAATATGAACTATGATCAGATTAACATGGATTATATTATACATGTCTATGCATTATTTCTTTATTTCATTGTCATGTCAGTCCTTCCGTCCCAACTTCCTTACACAAGAAAACAAAAGTTGAGGCACCCAAGAGTGGAATTTTTAAAAAGCATCTAAATGATTTAGGAGCACAATTTCAATTAAAAATCAGTGGGATTTGTGCTCCTAGATTAGGACTGGGGGAAGTTTATTTACTGAAAAATGCAGTTATGGGTCCATCAAAATGTGTGTGTGTGTCAAGTTTGCTGAACACTTTTGACTGAACTGAAAAAATCAAAAACATTTTGGTAATGTCAAAACAAAATGTTTCATTTCCACTTGAAAAATTCTGTTTTGATTTTAGGCATTGCAACAAAGAGCTGGATCCACAAAATGGCTGGGGAGGAGAAGGTGTTTCTGCCTGACTTGGACGCTTTAGCCAAGTGGCTCACATGGGAGACTGGGTTCAATTTCCTTCTGTGCCTGATATGGTGACCTTGAGTCTCCTCCATTACAGGAGAGCACCCTAGCCACTAGGTTATGGGATGTTCTGGTCTGCAGCTTCCTCAGTTTCTCCTGATGAAGCTATTCCACTGTTTATAAACTACATGAATAATCAGTGAGCCAGAGAGATAAAGTGACTATTGGCTGGTGGTTAGGGCACCCACCTTTTGCTTATTTGGATTTATTGAGATTTGGTCATTAGGCTTCTTTGAAAATCTCAGTCTTTGTCTTTAAACAAACATTTGGCAACTTATTTTGGTAAGAAGCCATGATTCTTGGAAACAAACAGTGAAAGATACATAATTTTTTTTAGCAGATTTATACTGCTAAAAAAAATTAGCAAACTTTTCAGTGATGTCATAATTTTTAAAGATGGTGTAGAGGTGTATACGCAGGGAAGCACTATGAGGGTACGTCTACACAGCAATAAAAGACCCACGGGCCAGCCACGGCTGGCCCAGGTCAGCTGACTCAAGCTTGCGGGCTAAAAATTGCTGTGTAGATGTTCGGGCTCAGGTTGGAGTCCAAGCTCTGGGATCCTGTTAGGATTTTTTATCTCTGGATAGACATATCCCAAGTGCCACAGCTTATCTAAAACTCAGCATACTTCTATGAATACAGAAAACACAACAAACATTTGTTTCATACATCAATTTATTATGCTATATTAGTTTTGTTATTTATTGCAATTACAACAAAAACAATGCAGGAATTCTGGGTGCAAAGATAACCTACCCTAAGCAGCTCTCACATCACGTGTTTTGACCTGGGCTAATAAGGAAACCTTAAGAAGCTGCTCCAGTCTGATTTTATACAACATGTAAATCTCAGAAATGTAACACACTCACTAGATCCAGAAATCCTGCTTTAAAATCCTCGTTAGCTGACAGACTAAATAAACCAACAACAAAAACAGAGGAAAAGAGTTAGCTTTAGAACAATAGTAACTACAAAAATAATTATGTATCAAAAATATGTTTTAGTTTCAAATCTTTATTTTGTTGCTTTAGGTTTTGCGCTAAAGAAAGCAGAAATGGTTTTCATTCCAGTTTTGTCAACTTTGGCCAGAGCTTTCTGAGCAGCAGACATCTTGCTAGTTGTCTGTTAACGAAATGAGGTAAAAAGAGAAAAAAAGAAAAATTACTGAGCAAATCTGCAGGAGGGGATGCTAATCTACAAACTCACACATACTGAAATCAGTTAAAGGTTTGCTTGGTTTCTTAGTCTACAGTATACAGCAGGGAAAGATGATGTGGGATAAAACTGAAGGAAAAAACCTTACAATTTTGAGATTTTTCAACAGAAAATAGTTGTCATGAATTATTTAACCTCAAAGACAGAGAATCTGTTAAGAGGATAAGGAAGCAAAATATCTCTCCCTCCTGCAGAATGAAGTACCCTAACTCAAATGCTTACTTTGGATAATCCTGGAGTGTACATTAACAGGAATAATGCACGCAATACAGCAGACGTATACTGTACCCTGTGACTCAGTCTCATGATTATGTTGTCAGCCGGCTGGATTACAGCCTTGCATTACAGATGATGAATAATTCACACTGATTTACTATCAAAATCTTTTAGAACAGTGAAATAAAGGGAAAGAGAAGAAAGGACACTAACGATGAAAGAGGTAACCAAGGTTTGAAAAGCATGTTGAGGCCACTGGGACAGCTTCCTAGAGACTGTTACACCTAAAACACATTTTATGTGCCACATTTTATAGAGCTGACCTCCTTCCCTTCTTACATCTTACAAATTAGCATGCTTCACATCTCTAGCCATTTTCCCTATTAAGAAATCTTTGCATTGACCTTTCCTTCTGTTAGTCCTCCTACTGTAGGACTTCACAATTTCACTCAATTTGGGTTTAGCTATGATGTTATGGACAGGATAATGATATGCAACCAACAGTAAGATTATCTGCATTACTTACAGTGCAAACAAAAACACTGCCAAAGTATTTTAAAAGTGCAGTACACTGAACAGAACCCACGAGCCAATTCATCCTTCCCAGATGCTCTTAACTACATATTTTGTTATTTCAGAAGTAAATCAAATTTAATATTAAAGCTTTCTTCAGTCCTTTTTGTGCCAAGATTCAAAAGCTGCATGTACATGGTATGGGAGTGGGGAAAAAATGGAGCTTTTGAGTCATTTATCACAAGAACATAGGGGAACTCCTGTACCGTCTTTTAAGGCTGTGGAATGCCCCTAATGGAAGAGGGTTTGTGGGAAAGGGTGGTGGTGGTGGTGGGGAATGGAACAACCACTAGGACAGAGGTGGGCAAACTACGGCCTGCGGGACCGTCCTGCCCAGCCCCTGAGCTCTTGATCGGGGAGGCTAGCCCCTGGCCCCTCCCCTGCTGTTCCCCTTCCCCCGCAGTCTGAGTTCACTGTGCCGCCCATGCTCTGACACGCCACTCCTGCGGGGCAATGCGGCGGCATGGCTTGCTCCTGCATGGTAAGGGGGCGGGGAGCAGTCAGGGAACGGGGAGCAGGGGAGGTTGGATTGGGGGTGAAGTCCTGGGGGGCGGTGGTGTGGACAGGGGTTGGGGCAGTCAGGGGACAGGGAGAAGGGGTGGTTGGATAGGGGGTGGGGTTGCGGAGGCCCCAGGAGCAAGGCGGTCAGGGACAAGGAGCGGGGGGGTTGGATGGGTTGGGGTTGTGAGGGGGGCAGTCAGGGGGCGGGAAGTGGGAGTGGGCGGATAGGGGGTGGGGCCAGGCTGTTTGGGGAGGCACAGCCTTCCCTACCCAGCCCTCCATATAGTTTTGTAACCCCGATGTGGCCCTTGGGCCAAAAAGTTTGCCCACCCCTGCACTAGGAGGACCCACGGCTCCTGGAAGAGTAGAGGTGCAAAGAGCAGTAGCTATTACAATAACAGCATGGAGTGGGGCTCTATTGCCTCCCTATGGACTGGAGAATTCCTTCTTCTTCAGCACCCACAGAACCACTCAACACCAAGCCTGGCTCCTTAGGCTTGGTGCAGACAGAGGATCTATTTATTTTCATATCTCTGCTTCTCCCCTTGGAGTGACAAAATGGTAGACTCCACTGGACTTCCCTGAAAACTTACATTGAAGTTGGCAAATTAGGCAGCTGGTATTGACTTACTTTATTAACCCACACAAACAACTGCACAATACAACATCTGTGGGCAAATTAAGACCTGTTTGAAAATACCTGGGAATTTAAATCAATGTTGCCTCCCTTGCCCCTTTTTTAAAAATAATACAACAGCAAACTAATTGCACTCCCATTTTCCATAATAAATAAATAATAATCCTTTACACTGCTGTAGTAGCTTTCATCCAAGGGGCTCAGAAAGCTTTATAAACATTCACTAAGCCATATAACATTAGTTAAGTAAGTGGCTATCTAAGGCCCACCACTAAAACACAGTCACCTTTGCAGTTATTTAACATTACACTGCAACACTACACAAACACTACACAACAGTTTAGGATGGGAAATTAAGACTATCATGTCAAATGGAAACTGCAGGTAGAGTTTAAAGAAGGAGAATGCAATTGCTTTCACTACATTTTTTCCAGGACTCTGGAATCAACACTTCTATGGTACCTCTTATGAAATGTGCCATGATAAATGGTGATAATATATGGTCACGACCTTCATGTCAAACCTTTTTGATTGCTTCAAAAATTTCTGACCTGCCTTATTCACAAACAATTAAGTACCTCAAAAGAATACTGACTGCTTTAGAAGACTTGGCAGGATCAATATATTCAGGGGGTAAAATACCAGGAAGAGTAAAAAGACAGTGCTGACATGAGAACAAATGGATATAAACTGACCAAGAGTAAATTTAGGCTGGACATTAGAAGAAGGTTTCTAACCATCAGAGGAGTGAGGTTGGGGAACAGCCGTCCAACTGGAGTAGCGGAAACAAGGAACCTAACTGGTCTCAAGATGGAGTTTGATAACTTTATGAACAGGATTATATGGTGGGGTTGCCTGAGATAGCAGGGAACTGGACTCAATGACCCAGAAAGTCACTTTTAGTTTGGTTCTTATCAAGGTGAACCCACCTACAATACAGTACATTGATTCTAATTCAGAACATGTTGAATATACTTTCCGAAAACATCCATTTTACATTTGCTTTTCTGACTAAGAGGCACATTGCAAAAAATGGGCACCCTGTGTAACTATTTGACCAGCATTAAAACACGCTTTAACAAAATGTGGGCATGCACACGCATAAAGCACACGTACCTTTTTGTTCTTGAGATCACTGCTGTTAAACTTAGTGTAGTCTTCTTCTGCTTCCACAGGTGCATCTGAGAATTTCCTTTTCTGAAATGTTAAGAGTGATGAAGTCGCTCTGTCAACCACTACTGTGATGTACACACATTGAACGTTAAAGCTGAAAAGGCCCTCGGGCTTTCTGGTGTAAGCTAGACACTGAAATGGCACAGGCAACCAAACAAGTAATATGCAATAGAGTACTGGTAGGTCTCTTTTCATAACAGTCTCCTCAAGAAACTGGAAGATAAACAGTATCTCTTCACTATTCGGAGAAGTTTGGTTAGTTTTGTAGGAAACACATTTTCTTCTCTTTTGCCCACAGAAGACTGATTTATAGAATCACTTACATATACATTTCAATTTCCATCCTTTGCCTTTAGTTTTTAATTCAGAGACTATTTGACTCATCTTTATGGATTAGTGCTGAAAAGTATTATCTACTGGCCAAGGAACAGGGGACAAAATTCAGGTCCTTGTGGTCTCTTGGGACCGGAAAGCACAAAGCAATCCTACATTTGGAACAATGTCTAATCTGTGTGTTGCATACAACCTCTCCTGGGATCGCTACTTTCCACAATCTGGTAATGTTCATATGTTGACTTGTTTGACATACATTGACTTGTTTTTGCTCAATGCTCTCTAATTTCAGTTCAGTGACAATCTAAGAGCCTAACTGTTCAAGTTGCTAGCTATCCTTAACTACTATTGAAGTCAATTGAACTCAAGGGAGTTCAGCACTTGATATGATCAGGCCTTAAGAATGCATGTTTCTTTCCCTAAGCTGTGTGCATTTGGCATTTCACAAATGTAATGAGTGCTTTTCTTTTTTTTTTTTTTTTAATTTTCAGAGACAATTACCATTGCCTTAATATCCTGTGAAATCTGAGCTGCAGCCTTTCTAGTTTCTTTGCCAGAGTGAGTGATAGTGAAAGTAACCTGAATGGTAACCATTCTATTTTAAATCCTTATTTTTCACTCTATTTATTGGCACTTGTGATCTCTCTCACTGGCACAAAAACCAGGTCTGCATCTTAGATTTCTCAGGCCCTTAGGACCAGATCCAACAGCAGCCGTTTTTTTAGTTCAATCCAAGTTGGAGCAGGCCCTTTGGGAGGTAGTTTTCTTAAATGCTACACTATAAGAACATTTTTAAATGACAGCCTAACAATAAATTATGATGTCCCTCTTTTGGAATCTTCATGTTTTTAACTTTCAGTAAAACTTTTGTAGTTCAGCTTTAAGTGATCTCAAGTATTTTGCGTGGCTATGTATTATGATCTGACAGCACCAGACTTCATACTCTGAGAAGATATAGTGATTACAATGCAAGATTGGTGGTTACAATTAATGGGATGGTTGGCATGTGTCACATGAAGAGTTCAGACTTCCTCAAAAAGTCTTGTAATAGAAGAGTAAGCTTGGTAATATGCTCCAGCTAGTGGACATTTGTAGCTAGACTCTAAGGCTCCTGTGTCTCTCTCCCTTCAGAAATTTATTTCAGATTATTATTTAAGAAGCAATTACTTTGTATTAGTAAGAGACATACATCAGATCTGTCTTGATTTGTAGGAACCATACATTTTGTCCTAACAACCACCTTGGTTTCACATAAGAGAAATTTTAAAATAAGCTAAAACAGAAGGTTTAAAGCAAATCAAATTTCACCTAATTTATGCCTTGATCCTGTAAAGCAGTGAGATAAAACATATTAAAGTAGCATTTTAGGCCCTGAACCTACAAAGATTTACACATGTGCTCAACACACCGTGAGCAGCCATGTGGAAGTCAATGGGACCGCAGACATTATTTCACAGTCAAACTATTGAACAAAATTCTAAAAATGGCTTGAGTTGTAATCACACTGATTATTTTTAGAAGTCACTAGACCTTTCTAAAAACAGATTCTCAGCACTATCCAAACAGCATAATAGACATTCATATACATTGTATAATCCACATCACAAGAACGCTCAGCAGAGTTAGTGTAACACCTAATGAATATCACTTGGCTCAAGACAGAATCAAAGGAATAAATTGTGGCCACAGTTACTTCCATGTGGTTGGACAGGTGTAACTTTTATGAAAAAGACATGAGGTCATATAGTCCCATCAATCTACCAACAAGAGATGCTCAATTTTTTTGATTTTTCATTATAAAAACAGGAAAAAATTATTGACAAAGATGACTGAAATTTTGATGAATAAAAAATAGAAAAATATTTGGCAAAATTTTTGGGATCCGCCTCCCCCTATATTTCTGATCAGTGCTACTACAATGCAGGTTTGCTCCTTACTGCATATTTTTTAATGCTTTGTCCAGTCTAGTTTTAATTGCCTCAAACATTTGAGAGAGACTAATCCACAACAAAACAGACATCCATCAAGAAGTTTTATTAGTTTTCTACCTTAAAATTTTTCCTATTTTCCTACCTTTAGCGGGGGGTCTGCTTCTGGACTTGTAAGTTCTGGAAGCCTTCAGAATAAAAGATTTTAAGTTACAGTTTTCATATAGAAACAAATCAATATATTGGAATATAACTTTTGAATATGTTAACCTGAAATTACATTCCTCTCCCACAAAGAGGGCATCAATGCTAATCCCATCAATCACCCTCAAAATATTTTCCACTTCATTTCATATTACTTTTATGACACACTAACGATGAGAGCCAAGTTTTCGAAAGAAGTGGCTAGTGGGTTTAATCATTAGGTTTAATCATCTTAGGTGACAACTGAAAGAGGCCTGAGTTTCAGAAAATGCTGAGCAAACACCCTCTGAAAATCAGTCCCTTTTAATGGTGTCAAGTCAGATACCTAAAACAGAGGAAAACCCAAATCACTAGTTACTTCTGAAAAGCTTGGCTATAAGCTGTGAAAGGATATTTTATATATATATAGCAGCTGATTGAGTGAGAATGGAGAGGCAGTGTAGCTTAATCGCTAGACCACTGCAGTGGAACCCAGGAGTTCTGGGTCCTATTCCTGGCACTGCAACTAGCCTACTGGGTGACTTGGGAAAGTAACTTCACCTCTCTCTATAAAATGGTGATAACAACATCGACCTTTGTAAAGCACTTTGAGATGAATGGATTAAAAGTGCTATGAAGGGCTAGGTATTATTATTATAATTATTAGTATATTTCTACTTGCAAAACATGCTGTTTACATTCACAATGCCAACCTAGACTTAATAAAGAAAGTTCCACTCTTCCTAAGAATGGCCATACTGGGTTAGAACAATGGTCCATCTAGCCCAGTATCCTGTTTTTTGACAGTGGCCAGCGATAGATGCTTCAGACAGAACAGGGCAATTACTGAGTGATCCATCTCATCACCCAGTCCTGGCTTCTGGCAGTCAGAGGTTTAGAGGCACCCAGAGCGTGGGGAGGCATCCTTAACCATCTTGGTAAGTAACTATTGATGGACCTATTCCCCATGAACTTACCTAATTCTTTTTTGAACCTGGTTATAGCTTTGGCATTCAAAAAAATCACATGGCAAACAATTCCAAAGGTTGACTGTGCGTTGCATGAAGAAGAACTTCCTTTTGTTTGTTTTAAACCTGCTGCCTATTAATTTCATTGGATGACCCTGGGTTCATGTGAAGGGGTAAATAACACTTATTCACTTTCTCCAAACCATTCATGGTTTTATAGACCTCTGTCATATCCCCTTGAGTCATCTCTCTTCTAAGCTGAACAGTCCCGGTCTTCTTTAATCTCTCCTCATATGGAAGCTCTTCCATACCCCAATCAATTTTATTGCCCTTCCCTGTACTTTTTTCCAGTTCTAATATCTTTTTTGAGATAAAGTGACCAGAACTGCACGTAGTGTTCAAGATATGGGAATACCACAGATTTAGACAGTGACATGGTATTTTCTATCCCTTTCCTAATGGTTCCTAATACTGTTAGCTTTTTGACTGCTGCAGCACTTCAGCAGATGTTTTCATAGCACTATCCATGATGACGCCAAGATCACTTTCTGAATAGCAAAAGCTAATTTAGACCCCATCATTTTGTATGTATAGCTGGGATTATGTTTTCCAATATGCATTACTGTGCACTTATCAACAATGAATTTCATCTGCTATTTGGTTGCCCACACACCTAGTTTTCTGAGATCCTTTTGTAACTCTTCTCAGCCAGCTTTGAGCTTAACTGTCTTAAGTAATTTTGTATTGTCTGCAAATTTTGCCATATCACTGTTTACCTTCATTTCCTGATCATTTATGAATATGTTGAACTACACTGGTGCCAGTATAGATACTTGGGGGACTAATTCTCACCATAGTGAAAGCTGACCATTTATTTGTACCCTTTGTTTCCTATCTTTTAACTAGTTACTAATCCATTGAAGAACTTTCCTCTTATCCCATGACTGAAGAACCTTTGCAGAGGGACCTTGTCAAAGGCTTTCTGAAAGTCCAAATACACTAATCCACTGGATCACCTTTGTCTACATTTGTCGATACTTTCAAAGAATTCTAATAGGCATGATTTCTCTTTACAAAAGCTGTGCTGATTCTTCCCCAATATATCATGTTCATCTATGTGTCTGATAATTCTGTTCTTTGCTATTGTTGGCACTGAAGTTAGGCTTACTGGCCTGTAGTTGCCATGATTGCCTCTGGAGCTTTAAAAAAAAAAATACTGACATTACATTAGCTGTCCTCCAGTCATCTGGTACAGAGGCTGTTAAGTGATAGGTTACATTCCATAGTTAGTTGTTCCACAATTTCATAACTGAGTTCGTTCAGAGCTCTTGGGTGAATACCATTTGGTCCTGTGGCTTATTACTGTTTAGTTTATCAATTTGTTCCAGAACTTCCTCTACTGACACCTCAATTTGGAAAAGTTCCTCAGATTTGTCACCTAAAAAGAACGGCTCAGGTGTGGGAATCTCCCTCACATCTACACGATAAAGACTGATGCAAAGAATCAATTTAGGTTCTCTGCAATGGCTTTGTCTTCCTTAGGTGCTTCTTTAGCACCTTGATAAATCATTGGCCCCCCCAATTGTTTGGCAGGCTTCCTGTTTCTGATATACTTAAAAAAAAAGTTTTGCTGTTATTTTGCGTGTCTTTTGCAAATTGGTTTTCAAATTCTTTTTTGGCCTGCCTAATTATACTTTTACGTTTGACTTGCCAGAATTTATGTTCCTTTCTATTTTCTTCAGTAGGATTTGACTTCCTCCTCCAATTCCTACCCTCCTCGGATATTTAATAAGTGACAAAAATATCTCTATCAGTCCCTGTAACTTGATGGTCAAAGTTACAGTATTCAGTAGAAAAGGTCATCTGCAGAGCAATGTGTGTCATATAAAGCTAACAAATAATTAAAATACTTACTGTAAGTACTTAGATAGCTCAACACTCAGATCTTCAGAAATATATTCTGATATTAAACCATGGGCATATCGTACATAGTCATCTGAAAGTTAAAAACAAACAAACATGATTCGGGGAAAGAGAGTGTGCATCCATGTTATACAGTCACAGGACTGCTTTTCAATCCATGCTCTTGTATGTCACTATAACCCATTATGATGAGCTAATGCTAAGAAACTACTAACAGACACGTGATGTTTCTCTTTGTTGAGTAGTTTATGTTATATGACACTTGTAGGTTTAATTAAAAAGCAAGGAGTTACTATGCTTACTTTGTCAGCACAGATGTTATTAATCTCTGTGGCATGTACTTTATAAAATCTGTTTGCTTTCTGAGAACTCTAAATATAATGTATTTTTTCTGCACAATTAATTTTTAAAAAATGCTGCAGAAGTAAAAAGCTGACTCAACAAAATGTGTAATCATTAATTTTAAAGCATCTGGATCCTACAATTATTTGGCAACAGTTTCAGTACTAAAATATATTTCTGGCTTCAACTGAAAACAATTAGATGAGACAATGAGTCTATTTCAAAGCCTTGTACTTAATGTAAGTATTTTATGAAAAATGCCAAGGCATATCTAAACATCACTGGCAAGACAGGATAATTATCTGTGGAAATATGAACTACTAGAAGCTGTTTTCAGGACAGGAAACTCTTGCTATAAAAGTTTTTCTGGAAATCAAACCTTTGGCAACATGAAGTCCTAAAACATCTCTTTTTCTGTCCCCCTCCCCACAAAACGGCAAAACAAGGCTTAGCTCCTGCAAACTCTTCTGTATGTGAATAACTTGATGTCAATGGGGCTATTAGAGAGTAACTTTACTCACATGCATAAATGTTTGCACAAGCAGACCCCAAGCCAATACCTTGCCTCTTAATTAGCCTTAAAACAGCCAAGCACTTCAACCCCCTCCCCCGAACTATATGGAAGCATATGGTAAACCAGCCCCCAGAGTAGAAAAGATATATTTCTCCTGGGTCAGAGATGGTTTGCCACACACGATTACGTGAAGTTTTGTAATAGCACAAAGCAAATTGGCGCCAAAACAGATATAATTAATAAACTGGCCCCAGTGTGCACATTTTAGCTCTACTGGCACCACTTTCCTGTGTGCTTTACAACAACAAAAAGCAGATTTGTTTCTCACGTATTTCCTCCTTCCTTAACCCCCTTTGGCATCCAAAACCATAAAAGAGTGGTCCAGATCCAACACACTGATTCTGAACTTCACCCTTATACCCCATCTATACCTAAATAGAGATGTTCTTGTTATCTTGCTCTTCTTTTTATGGCACTGAATTGTTAGGTCAAGTCAATTACTACAGCAATTCTTCACTTCTCTCAGACTCAGATATGAAGCTGCATCACCCCTGTCCTCCAGAAATCTTCACTGGCTTCCTTATTTAAAAATCCAGTACAGAGTTTTCCAAGGAGTTCCTACTGCCACCCTAACCCATACCCTAACTCTTAACCTGCTGCCAGCTTTTCCATTTATTCAGGCTATTTGCTTCTCTTCTCAAATGTCAGAGAATTTTGTATCTCCCTTCCTTGTCTTTTCTCAGTGGGCTTCTCCCACACTGCTCTCACCATATGAAATAGCCTCCCTAATAGCAAATCTCATCTCAAGATCCATCTCTTCTCCCTGGGTTATATGACTCCCAACCTTCCTCTCTAATAAAACATTCAGATCCCACACGCTAATCCTTCCTTGTTTCCCTTGTACTCATTCTCCCATTGGATGCCCTACAACACTTCTGTCTTACCACACCAACAGATGCTACCTGGTGGTTATTACTGTAATCTACACAGCTGCATTTACAGGTAGACTGTGAAGATTACTGCCATACTCTTGAATCAGCAACTGTATGCAAAAATCAATTGCACTCTCTTATCATTGAATGATGATTAAAAATAAGTGTTGAGTAAGTTCCCTTTGACTTTCTGCCAATCCCTTTGCTACATACAGTAGTTAGAGACACTTCAGAACCTCCTCCAAAACTGACCTAACTTTAACCCACAATATTCCCTCCTTCAATGTTGTTCTTTAAAATCTAGACCCCTTTCAATGGCAAACCTATAATAAAGAATATACACACCTTCCTGTAAGGTGGGAGGATACAAGAGAAAACTTTGTAGATTGAGACTAACAATAAATTTACCAAAGATAACGGTTAAATATAGTAAAGATGGACCTGATCTGACAGTTCCAATTTCCTTTTATTTATTTAATCTTTTTGGAAGTAATAAAAAGTTACTGTAAAGTTAAAGGCACGCAAGTCTCTCAGCACCACCTCCTTTTTGAAACTATATATTATAATGCACCCCCTATAAAACTGTCTCGATATCTCTTAAATCTCATTTATGCTTTTTCCTTCATATCATTACTTGATAACTGGTTTTCCACATACTCAGTACTCAGAGTTCAAGAAGCCTGCCACGATTACCTGTTCATTGTTTCCTCATTTTTAGATTGCATGCTGGCTTCTGAACCTCTTAGTAAAGTGAATAATTTACTTTGCTTAATTTGCTCTAATTACTTTCTGAATTTGAATTTCTTCTCTTAAAATTTTGATCTTTTTCTTCATCATAGTGCATATTCTGAAGGGCATATCTAGGATATTTCATAATCCAACCCCTCATTGACCTTGTCCTCAGGAAAAAAGGTGATCAAAATAATGGTGAAACCTTACAACTTAATGATTATGGTAATAACTCTAACACTTTGGGTGGAATTTTCAAAATCATCTAAATGATTTAGGAACACAAGTCGTAGTGACTTTCAGTAGGACTTGTGCGCACAAAGGCACTTTTGAAAATCCCCCTTTATATTGTGTGTATTCAATATATTATTAAATCATAATTTATATTATGTGAGTATACATAACATAACTATGCCTATACATACTGTATAGAGAAAAGGAGTACTTGTGGCACCTTAGAGACTAACCAATTTATTTGAGCATGACATGAACATACTGTATAGAGATAATTCATATCTATTATACTAAGATTACACAAGATGTATATTCTCTCTCTCTCCCTCTGCATAATCATTGCACAGGAGTACAATCCCAACTTGAGTATTTGTTCTCCGAGCACATCAATGAATAGTGATGGTTTGCTGAATTGGCGCCTCAATTAGATCTCACTAGAAGCTATTCAGAACCCTTCTCCCGGTATATTTGGTGCATTATACAATTACCACATTTCAGGCACCACAGAACTCAAAACAGTCATGGCACCACTACAGTAACTACACGAAAAACATTTTGGGCAAGAAATATTTTTAAATGTTTACAAACCATTTAAAATTATTGCTAGATTCTAGCTGAGCATCTAAGCTGCAGGTATCTTATCACATAAAGATATATTTAGTTAGAACTACACTTCGTTTTCTTACCTTCTTTAACATCTGTGATTTGTTTGCCGCTGATAAATGTAGCTGATTGCACCCTTCCACCCACACATACATTGCTGCTTTTAAGTACTTTCACTGTCTGGCTGACCTGTAAGGAGCCACAGATTGAAATGTCTAAATCAATGTTGTTATGCACGTGTGTTAATACGGTGACAAAGCCCTTGTAATTTGGTTTAAAGCACATAAAATGCTCAAGTTATGAACTGTGATGAAACTTAATATACATCTGTAATGACTAGCATATGATCTCAAAAAATTAAGGATCCAGTGTTTCGGCCTGCTGCCTTTGAGACATGGCAGCTAGATTTGCAGCTCCGCTGAGACGGGCTGGAATTTACAGTTGGAGCAGCTATGGATTTTACAGATGATTCATGCACCTGCTCAGAAAAGTAAGGGTTTTTCCATTTCTATTGGAATGGGAATGGAGTCCTGAACAGGAATGGAATGTAATCATCAGGATTCTGTAGGCCAGGGCATTGTCAGATTCAATATAAGAGAGAGATTGTCAATAGAGAAGGATCCAATTTTGTTTTGGAGGTCACGGAATCCGTGACTTTAATGGACCTCCATGACTTCTTCTGCTTCAGCCCTTGGGGCTGGAGAAGCTGTCAGCCCCTGCCCAGGAGCAGCAGTGGGGCTGGAGTAGTGGTCGGTGGTCAGCCCCTGCCACAGGAGCAGCAGCGGGACTGAGTCAGCCCCCGGGGCTGGAGAAGCTATCAGCTCCAACCGAGAAGCAGAGGCAGGGTTGGAGCAGAGGCCAGCCCCCGGCGGGGCTCCGACTGTTAGTTCCCGCCCCCTCAGGTATTTTTAGTAAAAGTCACAGACAGGTCACAGGCTTCTGTGAATTTTTGTTTATTGTCCATGACTTTTACTAAAAATACCTTGATAAAATCTTAACCTTATCAATAGATCAAGAACATTATAATTATATAACAGGCACCTGCAAAAACATAAATATTCAGCCATGGATGTGAAAATTAATATCAGAGATGTGAAACTATATGGGCTCTTCCAGTGATATTTTTCCCTTATACCAGCCTTGGAAAAATTCCACTTAACCCAGACCAGTACTTCCTTTAACAGGCAAGAACATTATTGTTATCCTCCCCACCCCGCCCATGATCATGGCAAAAGGTGGGAAGTAGTTTTTGTGTTTGGGGTGGTAAACGTTAATGACAATTTTTCAAGGCTCCCTTACATCTTGTGATGGACATAGATTTAATCATTTTCTCAGATGGATGCTGTTGCAGTAGATCTATTCTGATTGAAAGGATCTGCTTCTTTGTGTACAACAGCTTGGACAAGTACAGCAGCTTGGACAACAGCTTACCTGACACAGTACAATTTCTTTTAGGCATAGAGAGTGTGGGCAGGCTTGCTTCACGGGTGATACATTGTTGCACGCCCCACCAGTATTAGGGGAGACAATGTAGAGAGCTCATGAGGAACACAGTTGCATCAAATCACAGCAGTGTTCAAGGTATGCTTCCCTCCATGTTTGGCCAGCTGCTATGGGCTAGGGAGCGAGAAATGGTCATAGCCTTGCTTCCTTCCCATGCTTTAAGGCAAAGAGCAGTCCCTGAGCTCAGGGACAGCATAGAAATAGCAACTGTAGCCTACTCTGGACCTTTCTGCGCCTGTGCAGGGACTAACCACAGTCTGGTTCTGTCTAAGAGGGAATCTGCTAAAAATCTGCTATTTCCTTAACACTTTATATTTGTCACATTCTAAAGTACGACAGCTTTACTGATGTGTTTACTCTTGTTCAACGGGATATGGACTTCGAATATACTCACGTTTTGTGATTCAAATATAATGTGAAGAAAACTTCTTACTATTTTAAATTTTGCACATAAAAGCTCTTTGAAAGCAAAAGAGAAACATAATACCTTTTTCTTTAACCACTTCAATGTCTTCTCTTGGCTGTATTTATAAAATTTCTTATTGCCAATTTCTAGGATAAAACAAAACAAGGAATAAAGTCATAATTGGTTTTCATTTTCAATACATTAAAAACTCAAAAGATGCACATAAGGCATGGAAGTTATTTCATAGTTTGCACATGTCATCAGGGTAATAATACTGAAAAATATTGGAAATGTGGAAAAACAACACAGCAAGCTGATGTTCACAAGACCATGCAACTTGACAATTGTCTCTAATTAACCCTGATTCAGGAAAGCACATGTGTTATTTAAGTATATGAATAGTCTCAGTCCAATGGTTTCAAAAGTGGTGTCAATGAGACTATTTACATGATCAAAGTTGAGCACATGCTTAAGTGCTTTGCTGAATCCCTTTTGACACATGCCAACAGACGGTTACATTTATAAGTGATATGGTCACAGCTGTTTTTTTCATCTCAGGTTCAGTTCCTAGTCAATTTGTTGTTAAGCCTCATGTCTTAAACCTGGACTTTGTAAACAGATGCATCTGGCACCAAAGGCAGAAAAAAAGAATAGTTTATAAAAAATATTTCACTGCTCTTCCAAGCATTCTCCCCCAAAGACTCATAGGATGGTGGATAGCAACATTTTCTTTTTCATCTCCTCCTCCTGCTTCTAAATAATTTAACATAAATGTCAAAGCAAACAAGTTGTAGTTCTTAAAAAAAAAAAAAAAAAAAGTGAAACATGCAAATTATTTGGGGATGGTAATATGTCTTATCTATTATTTGTTAAGCACAATATAAATTAATTATGATATATGTATTAAAATATTTTCCATATCTGCAACTATGAGAGCATAAACATTCATTGCTGCTGAATGATTAGTTATCTGCATGTGCTGGGGCAAATGGAAGAGGAAATTACAAAGATTTCAGGAAAAATTTCAGCATAGAACTGCACACTAAATTAATAGTGCATAAAGTCCGGAAATTGAATGAAATGTGAAAGATGTGAATGTGAAAGATGATATAGGAGACTTTAGAACACACCACATTTCAATCTTGCTCTTTAACAGGTATTTCAATAGGGTTTAATAACCTATATAACATTACCATTAATATTTACATCTGTTTTATGTAATTTAAAAGGTCTGATACCATACTCCAGCACTAGGCTCATGGAGTTTCTTTCTCTCCCTGCAAACAACCAACAACGGTTTATTTATGGTTCCTTCGGCATTTCCTTCTTTGAGGTTTATTTTGGCTCTTTCAAACTGCATACAAATATCTAATTGTTATGTACTTTTTGTGTGTGCATAGGAGGGGACGGTGAGGGGTTGGGGAATGTTACATACAAGATATAGTTTAATTTCATCTCAACCATGGTAGAAGAGTAAAAAAGTAAATATTTTTACATAGCAAAAAAGAAAAGAAAAGGCACCTTAGTGGCACCTTAGAGACTAACCAATTTATTTGAGCATAAGCTTTCGTGAGCTACAGCTCACTTCATCGGATGCATACTGTGGAAACTGCAGAAGACATTATATACACAGAGACCATGAAACAATACCTCCTCCCACCCCACTCTCCTGCTGGTAATAGCTTATCTAAAGTGATCACTCTCCTTACAATGTGTATGATAATCAAGTTGGGCCATTTCCAGCACAAATCCAGGTTTTCTCACCCTCCGCCCCCCCCCCCCCCCACAAACTCACTCTCCTGCTGGTAACAGTAGCTCACGAAAGCTTATGCTCACAGTATGCATCCGATGAAGTGAGCTGTAGCTCACGAAAGCTTATGCTCAAATAAATTGGTTAGTCTCTAAGGTGCCACAAGTACTCCATTTCTTTTTGCGAATACAGACTAACACGGCTGTTACTCTGAAAAAAGAAAAGAAAACTCCAAATACTATGCTTCATTTTATAACTGACCTGTTGCAGATTAAGTAGTTAGTTGCGATATTGTTGGATACAGCCTTTTGGGACTCAAAAAAAAGTTAAATGGTTTAAAATGGTTCTTAAAAGAAAAAAAGTTTGATAGAAGCACAAAAGGGATACACGAACCTGTTTGTTGCTCAAAGAAACTAACATGATTTGGGTCCAAGAATATAATGTACAATTTTTGGATTTCCCTTATCTGAGAAAGTTCGAGCAGAGGACACCCTCTTGCCACCCTCCCCAAATCCATGTTGAAAAATAGTTCAAGTCCAGATTTCCAGGCAGAATCTCCAAACAGCATGAAACAGAGTGACTCAGTTAGGGAAGGAAATATAGAATGTGAAGCCATTTTCATTAAAACATGAAAAATAATTACACTGAACCCTTCAGAGATCACTTTGTTTGAAAGTATTTTATGCACTTGACAGTTTGTACTATTACATACTAGGAACTGACAATATTTGAGACCTCTGAAGAATTGAAATGAGTTGTGAAAGTCACAAACTGCTGACAAAAGGATTCAATACTGGAACATGGATTTTACGTGTAATCCACATTTGATATTGGTGAGAGTTAACAACTATGTTTGATAATATGAGTATATATTGGAAAGACTTTTTTTCCCTAATGTGTCTGGTGCCTATAAAACTGGTCTGAGACATCTGGAAAGATTGGGTTTGAGAAATACAAATGGAATATAAGTGGTTCTACAATTAAATAATATGTTCAGCAATTGGGTAATCGCTATGTAGACTTGGAAGTTTCCCTGATGTATTGTTGAGCAAACTGCCTAAAGCACATTTTAACATCTATTTTCTCAGTACTTTCCATAACTCAGAAACTCATATGGCCCCTTTTTTTCCTACCTTCTGGGAATATAAGCTTGGCAATATTACTTAGTTATTCTAATCAGGTAAGTTTTCTTGGCTTTTCATATTAATCACATCAGACAAGATCACAGTGCAACTTTTGCCTTGCAAAATGAAACAAAGAGTAACACTCCCAAACTGAAGTTCATAACCCTTTATTAATCCTTTTCTATCATAGTGTCTCCCTCATACATGAACTTATTTTGAAACAATCCTCCTCACCCAGATCTAGTGAACAGAAAGAAGTAATTTCCTCTACCAACGAAGCAGATGAATGCAAGTTCAGTGTGATTTTTACACAGGAACAGAACTCTGACTGCTTCAGTGCCCTGGCTGCTGGGTGCCAGGCAGGGGGACTTCTTACTGTTAGCCCAGCAAGTGTAAACTATCAGTGCTCTAGGTTCAGAATTTACTACCCAGATTCCCAGTGCCAGTTATGCTTTTTTTTTTATTATTTGTTAAGCACCACTACCATGTTCAGTGCCATCTATGACACAAATACTTCTTGCCCCAAGAAGCTTACTCTCAAATAAGGCAGAGTACACAGAGCAATGAGAGGCCGTAGTAGAGAAGTACTAGGTTCTTTTAGAAATGCATTAGTCATAATACCAGTAGTCCTTGTGAACACTAGACAAAGTAAGTCTTTAAGAGTGATTTGAATGACAAGCGAGTAGTGGGCTGGTGGAAAGGAAATGTGAGACATGATTAATAGCCCCAAGTGTATTTGTTACATATTAATGTGTGTGGTGCTGTAAAAGAGAAAAAATAGCTAAAGTCCTTGCTCCAAGATACAATCCATAGAACAGGCACAAATGGGACAAGCAGCACTTGGAGACCCAGAAATGGTTATGACTAAGAATGGTGTATAAAAAACACTGAGTTAAAGTCAATCACATTTTTACATATTTCAAAACAAAATATAAAGATGCTGGCTTTCAGAATTTGTGCCAGTTGCTGAAAAGGCTATACATTATATAAAATTATATACATATATATTTTACATATAAACAAAAGTAAATAATTCCCATTTGTCTAAAGGAATAAAGGAGCTTCCTAGAGGTTGCTCTGTTGTACTATAACTGGATTATTATTTACAGAACTAGCACTGAGATAAGGTTAAGAAAGAAGAACTTTTTATGGTAACCACTATTATATTTTTGCTACGGAATTAAAAAAAAAAAACGATTTCCTAAGGGCTACATTGCGATTTGTACTAGGCATCCATGCAAGGGAGTAACCCACCCCCCCTTAATTACCGCTACACAGACTTCCTAGTCTGGGTGGCTCCGGAGTAAACCACATTATTCCCTCAGTGGAGCAGGTGGATAGAACATTGGCTTCTCCTCCTTCACTTGCTGACCAGCATGGGGGTGGGGCTGAGGGGACTGTAATTTACTTTTGGTACAAACCAGCAGTAAAATTACTACCACTCCAGAGCAAGCAGGGAGAAACAGTGACCTGGAGGCATATGTGTGTGTCACACAGTGCCTTCTAGGGTTACTCATGGAGCAGTGCAGATTTTGCGCCACCCCTTTGTCTAGGCTGTGCCCAAACTCACACTCTAGCTCTAAAGTAAACAGTCATTCATATCTGCTAAAACTATGTGCAACGTGAGCCTTTCTGAAGAGTTAGTTTTGAAACCAAACAAAATAATCTGCAACTCAGAACGGTAAATCTGAATGCTGACCTGGGACCCAATCCTGTGAGATGCTGTGCACCTTCAACTACCACTGAAAGGCCTCTACAGACAAGGCTTCCTGCTTTCATCCTTTGACGTGTGTATCATTTCTTTAGTCATTTACCCTCTTTCGCAAGCTAAGCACAGGTTTCTGGTCAGGCCCACAGCTGGGTTACTCTATTCGTTGTACATGTAACTGGGAATAGTAAGGACACTTTCTCCTTTCTTAATGAAAGTTTACTTTGTGTCCCAGATTTCTTTCATCTTCGTCGCCAGGCTGAGGCTAAGGAAGATAGAAATCTAATCTCCTTCCACCCTTGCTTTATAATTAAATCCTCTCATTTCTGGCTACAGTCAGTATCCATTCAGCATTCCTGGTCTCAACACATAGGTAGTAACTGTGTTATCAATATGTTCTCCTGCTTGCTCACTGCAATAAACGTGACTATTTTCAATGGAAGCAAGTCCTACTTTATGTTCAAATGAAGCTTTTTACGAAGAAATGGCTGAACACATGCAACACACGCCTTACCCATACAGGACACAACATCATCTCATATTGTGAGAATATATCCGGTTCCCTAAAAGTTCAACATGCCTCTCCAGGTTACTGTTAAATTCCATGAAACAATAAGTTTTTAGTTTTCTTCTGTTTGTGGTGCTTATTGTTCCATTGTTACTTTTCAATTCTTTGGTAGTTATCCTTGTAACACTGCCTAAATCTTCCCTCCCAAAGGTGTCAGTGACAACTGCAGCCTGCCATGGCTAGCAGGAATTGGTTCAAACAAACCTTCTTGTTCGCATACCTTAGTGCCTTGTAGGTGCTCTACACAGTACAGAAATAGAAAAACTGGTTGATTTTTTTTAATGGAAAAAGAAGGCCAATGTGGAAGATTCTGTTTTCTCTAACTTCTGTATCCTTCTTGAATGATTACCCTCTCCATTCAGTCAGGAGGTCAGTGCAGGACCTTTCGGGATTTTTACAAGTCTTACATTTTCAGATGATATTGCTATGAATTATGAAGCCTCTTTTCCATGTCTGTCAAGCTGTGCTATGAAAAAAGCCATGCATTTAAATGTATCTAACAAACATTTAGGGCCATATGTTGTCCTCAACTGCCACATAAACTCCCAATAATATCAATGGGAATTCTGTGTAAAGATCAAGGATAGTATGTGTATACCCTTGACAGATGGAGTTGTTTCAGGTTTTCTTTAATACAGTTTATCACCAAACGCCCCTTTCAGAACAAAGCTTACAATGGCAGACAACTGCTGACTTTTTTAAAATAAATATTTCTTTTTACTTAATTTTAACACTACACTATAAGCTTATGGAAAACTGCAGGAACTTGTGTTGTATCTTCTCCTTTCCTGAAATGCCTCTCACAGCCATTCATTCTCCCTTTTCCCCATCCCAGCTTGGGCCTGCTTACTCTCCATATACCGTACTGGTAATTCACAGGGAACGCTGATGCCACTGCTCCTTAGTGGACCGTCCACCTGGCAAAAGAGTCACTCCAAGACCCATGGGATACTCACCAACAGAAAAAAAGAGATATTGCTCACAGGATAAGGGAACCACTCGGATTCCTTTTACAACTTTAACGATATATCATTTTTAATATCAAATGGTGGAACTGTATGCTACTAATTTAGAGCTGCAGTATATAATTTCAGCCAAGTGCGACACCTTTTAAAATACTGAAATAAAGACCACTTCTAACATCATTACTTAAACTTAAACAATCACTAAAGTACAGTTCTACTCGGAGCCAATGACATTGAGGGGGTTACATGTTTATTGTCTCAATGTTTTTCAGACCAAACATTTATAAGTGAAAAGCTGGTGTTCTACTTGCCAACCCTGCACACTCAGCCTGGGATGTAAACACAAGCTAGGTTCTTTCTATCACACGTATCACCCAAAGTAACAGAGCCTCTACATGCTCAATTAGGCCTTCAGCAATACCTGTGCAACTGCAATATTCAAGTGTAACTGAGTAAACAATTCTGTTGCTGATGCAAAAGAAGGAATAAAATCCAGCTCATTCACTCATAACTTGGCCAAAACAGCCCAACTAACTGGAATAAAAGCAATAAAAAAAAATTTATTGCTAAAATCAGCAGATACAACTCTAAACACACAAAATGATGAGCCTGGTGGTGCTATTATCACATAGTCACTTTTCAGCATAAACTCGCACTTTTGAAAGTCTTCAAGTCTTCCAGTAGAGTACAGTTTTGATTAACCTTTGGTTAGACCCCTCCTCTACTGAGAGAGCACTCTTTTGCTGATCCCTGATTTTACTGTAGTTGTGGTGGTTACAGTTGCAATCACAGAAACGCACGTACATACATACATACACAATAAAAAAAAAAATTAAAAAATAGAGCTGTAACTGAGATACAAGTTATAAACAAAAGAGAAAGGCTTAATTTGCCAAACATGGCAGTTACTTTATTGAGGGAAAACTTTTTGCAAATTTAGGAGACTGATCAACTACATGAATGGACTCCAATAATAAAATGCAGCAGGACATGTGGCAGATTCCATTGGCACACCAAAGATGCTTGGTGAAACAAGACGTAAAAGCCAGTGCCTAGTGCTGTAGGCTTAGCAGCAGAGTGGCTTCTAGTCCCACTGTGCAGAGGTCAACGGAAACAAATAAATACACCCTTCAGAACCCAATATTAGCTGAAGTATTAGTCTGTTAGCTAAACTGATATCCAAAATCGTGTACCTTTTTCTTCTATAACATGATGTAGTGAGTCCATAACTCTTGCACACTGTAGCAACATCGTACAGCTAGAAAATTCTGAATCAACCACAACTTGATCCAGTGGTTGGAATTTTCCTTGCTGAAAAAAAGTCAAAAGGGATTATAGAAGCATTACTGTCAACAACAGCAAAAATATAATAAGCCATTAAACTTTTTTAAGGCTAGAGCCTTAAACCAAGGATTACAAAGCCTGGATTGCTAGTAGTACAACAACATATTCATAAACTGTTTAGAGAGCAACAAACTATGAAAACCGTAAATACTTACAAAGCACTGAACTTTTCAATTAGTGTACTTTAAAAGGTCCAGTTTTAAAATATCATGGAGACAAACAAATGCAAAGTACAGAGGGTTTACTTTGGAAGATGACAGCATGTTACAGTAGTTAATGTGTGCCAATAGTTTTTCTAGACACAACCTGCTGGATTAAATTTAGCATCATAATTTTCATTAAAATTTTGCTTTTTTCCCTTCCATAAAGAAGAATCTCAGAGGAGCAGTGCATCTTAAGGAACATAGTACTAACCTTTCACCTCTGGAAAGTGAGTTCCAGTTTGGCCTGAAGTCTTACATAAAGTGGTTTTGGCATAGCTTAAATAGCACTGTACACGACAGCACCATCAAACAAATCTTGCCTTTGCCAGGCATTACAATGCATAATTATTCAGCACAGTTTGGCACAATTGACAGCTTTCCCTTTGGAAACCTCCCTGAGCACATCAGTACAAAGGCTCAGTTAGCTCTCCATCCTTAGAGTGAATGGTCTCTGGGGGCCAAAACTGAAGTCATTATGCTGGTCCGGGTGATAATAAAACACTTCGGTAAATCACATTCATTATTAGAGAATAATCTCATTGGAGCAATCAGAGAATTCATAAAACAACCAACTGAAATTTACAAGGTACAAAACAAAACAAAGGATTTCATATTTGTTTCTAGCGCAGAAAAAAGCAGAGGTAAAAATCAAAAGAAGAAAACGATTACAAGAGTAAAAAAATAAATGTATATTAAAATTAATCTGTGGATAAGGTTTTCAAAGGGCAACCAAATCTGAACGAAGTGTGGTTCATGGAAAGCCATTGAAAGTATTCTTCTGTAATTGTTTATAAGAATGTGGACTACTATAAGATTGGGATGGACTACAATACTATAAAGCAAACATGTTTATGGTTACCCTTTATCATAAAATGATGAAACATTTCCAACACAATATAGGTTAAATTACTGGTTAGAAATATCAAGCAGGTGTTCACTGCTAGAAGAAAATGCATAAAAGTAAGATTTTGTATCCTGAATCCACTACTTAAAAGCACAAAGAAAATAATTATCTCTCTCCATATACTTTTTCTTCCATGACACAGTAGCAGGGAATCTTGGAGGGAGAAACAAGAAACAGGTACTGAAGGAAAGAGAAGCCTTTCAGATAAGTAAACCTAATTTACTGCCTCCATTTGGCATGAATGAAGAGTGGCATTTAAATTCTTCCAGTTAGATAAGCTAGTGTCCTTTGGCTCATGGACAAGAGATTACATTAACTAATTAAGTGCATTTTTCTATTCTTCCTGATGTATTGTACTTTTAAATTACACGTGAGAATTTGCAGAGCCATGTGATCAATTCATTTATTATCTGCCTTGGATTACTTAACCATCCCTTTGCCCATAATCTGCAAATTCCAGGATTTATCTACATTCTAACCCCTGTAACTACTTCAAATAGCCACCTTTTCCCTTTAAGTTCAACCTGCCATAGAAATGTTTCCTCCTCCTCCCCACAAACATGTAGGTTCCCCACAAAAGTTGCATCTACCCCTGGCTCAGGAAAGGCACTATTCAGTCCTACACAAACAGCTGCTTATCAGTTCAAACTCCAATACCTCTCAGCTCTACAGGCCTAGACTCAGGTGTTCTATAATGACAGGAAAGAGGAGATTCTCTGTTTCCAGATGGGAACTAGCATTCACTTCTGGCCCTGCAGGGTGACAATTACTTTAAAATGGTAGTATTTTAAAGTTATTTTAGGTCATGTTTGGAGGTGTTTCATATATATTCATTTTAATTTTTCTCCCTCTTTGAGCCCTGTGCAGTGCGGTGTGACACTGACAGACCGATTGACTGGTGGATAACCCGTAACAACTCAACAGAAGGTACTGAAATGATGAACAGGGTCATTCCCTGTAGATAGTTATCAAAGCCATGTTAAGTAGACTAGAAACTCTGATATGTTTGCTTATACTATTAGAGAACAAGAATAGATAATAACTGTATTGGTCTGTGTTTATCTATATCTTGTTAGAAGTTAAACAACGTGATCTAAGGAACCTTATGGACTAACAGACGTATTGAAGCATAAGCTTTCGTGGGTAAATACCCACTTTGTCAGCTACCCCTCTGATCTAATTTGCTTGTAGATGCTAAAATTCTGTTTCTATCTGTAATGATTCATTACTGTATTCTATTGATTCAGAGATCAAAAAGGTATATTATCATCTAGATGGGACTTGCAGTTTAATAAATATTATTGGCTTCATTTTTCTTTGAAACTTGTAAATTCCACATAAGTAAATTAGCTGTGAACTGTTTGAATAGTTAATTGCCTTATGTAAATGAATACAACTAGTAACCAGGAAACAGAGATTAGCTTCAAAGCAACAATATACATTAGCTATTCGTCATCCAAGAAAGGCCCTGCTGTGACCATGGCTGGTTCAGCTACAAGAAAAGACCTGGGCCTGATCCTTATCTTATTTCAGATCTGCTTAAACTTTGACAAGGTAAGTCTAAGCGCACAGGACTGAGGTCTCCAGGTTACTCTGGATCCATCCTGAAATTCTAATGGAAGAATTTGAACAAGCTCTGCACATGGACTGCCTATGGGACTATAAGCTATTGAACTGATTCTAGAAGAACTTTTGCAGATCAGCAGCCTCACCATCTCTGCAATGAAACAGACATAAGAACTTTACTCATATCCGTATGTATATTGATCTTTTAACCATAACAATTCTCTTCTTTCTTTTTAACCGTAACAATTCTCTTTTTTCTTTTTATTAATAAATCTTAGATTTAGTTAATAAGAACTGGCTGTAAGTGTAGGTGAGATATGAAATATTCATTGACCTGGTGGGCAATACGTCTGGTCTCTTGCGATTGGTAGAACTTTATATATGGTGAATAAGGTTTTAGTAACTGTCACTATATTAGACTTGGCTGTCTGGGTGGGAGCCAAAGGCTGGATTGCTTAAAGGGGACCGTATTTTGGTTTCTTGGTAACCAGTAAAGTATTACAGAAGTTGTTTGGTTACTGGTTTGGTGAAATCTAAATATAGAATAAACCACCAGTTTTGGGGATTGTCTGCCCTATCCTTTGCAGTTTGCCCTGAATAAGCATTCTCAGTGTAGTTCCTCCAGGTACCACAGTCACAGGGACTCATAGGAATCAATTTCTAGGAACAAAGAATGTAGACCATCCTTATAGGATGGGGGGAATCTACCCAGGGAAGCAGTGACTCTGAAAAAGATTTGGGAGTTATGCTGGAAAATCAGCTGATCATGAGCTCCCAGTACAACCCTGTGGCAAAAAAGGGCTAATGCAATCCTTGGATGCATAAACAGGGGAATCTTGAATAAGTGTAGAGAGGCTATTTTACCTATGTATTTGGCACTGGTGTGACTGCTGCTGGAATACTATATCCAGTTCTGGTGCCATCAATTCAAGAAGGATGTTGGTAAACAGGAGAAGGTTCAGAAAAGAGCCAAAGGAATAATTAGAGGATTATAAAACATGCCTTACAGCAATAGAGTCAAGGATGTCAATCTATTTAGTTTAAATAAAAAGTTAACGGGTGACTTGATTAAGTCTACAAGTGCCTTCACAGGAACAAATATTTGATAATGATCTCTTCAATCTATCAGAGAAAGGTATAACACAACCCAGTGGCTCAAAGTTGAAGCTACACAAATTCAGACTGGAAATAAGGTGTACATTTTTAACAGTGAGAGCAATTAACCATTGGAACAATTTACGAAAGGTCATGGTGGATTCTTCATCACTGAAAATTTTTAAATCAAAGAATGGATATTTTCTAAAAGATATGCTCTAGAAATTTTTTCAGGGATCTTCTATGGCCCATGTTATATAAGAGGTGGACTAGATGATCACAATGGTTCCTTCTGACCTTGGAATCTATGAATCCCGCAAAGTACTAAGCAACCGGCCCCAATCCAGCAAAGTACTTAAGCATGTATTTAAGTGCTTTGTTCGACTGAAGCCAAAAAACTTAACTCAAATTTTAGGGGGAAACCTTGTGCTGAGCAGTCACAAAATGGATTTTTCCAATGATTATAATTCAACTTGTTTTGTTAATTTTTATATTTAGTTAAGCAAACTGGCTTAGAGATTAGTCCTCAGTAAGGACTAGACATACGGAAATTTCAACTTGTGAAGGTCAGCCATTTTTAAACTCATGAACAAGCAAAGCAGCACCTTCACATTTTCCTAGAGTGATAAAAGTATTTTTATTTCCCTCACCTTCCATAATCAAAAATGGATGAATGAATTAATCTCAAACTTTCCAAAATATTCACCTTTGGAATGAGACCAAGAATGGAACATTTCAGATGAAATGGAAAATTTTTTAGATAATTATGAGCAGAGAGAAAAATATAAGGCTTATATCAAAGTCAAAATGTAACCTTAACTATAACATCCTTTACTGACAACACACTACATCTCTGATCACCAAACAACAGTGGCAAAGATGACAACAACCTGTCTGGGACATGTATTTATGCTTCAGTGATACATAATGCAATATTCATTTAGTGTGGGAGTCCCACTTTAAAGAATTAAAATAACTTTTAGAGAAAATAAAGCAATAAATAGCTGTTTCCCCTAAAATTTCTAATGCCAGAATCAAGGACACTTACCTCTTTCTCTGCCTTTATGAGGTAGAAAAGCACCAGAAATAAAGGATCCATTGGTGTTGCAAACAATAGGCGTCCATCTATGGAGAGAAAGATGAAAGAACATTTTATTCTCAGAAGCATAACATAGGCAGATTGATTATTTCCTTTTAATTTTACTGATGGGGTTGCAGCGTTTTCATGGAGCAGTTAAGTATATCCTGTTATTTTGTTTTACAAATGCCTTAATATAAGAGGGCTTAATTCTTAATTGTGCCTAAGCCACATTAAAATACAGTGGGACAGGTGTCTTGATAGGAAGCTGACTATAGCTTAATGATTCTGCTCTCCCCCTAGTCCTCGCGTAACTTAAAGCTGCAGGGGGCTAGCTCCAATGCACGGTGCAGAGGAAATCCCTTCCATCAGCAGAGAATCAGGCATAATGAGACCTCGCTCTGCTGTGGCCCCTTCCCCACTTACATCAGGCAGAAAGCTCTGCAGTAGGAAGCAGAAGAGGAGTTGTAGCTGAATTCTGCGTGTTTTACAAAGGCCAGAGATTCCCTCTGCATGGGGGAATTCTCTGTTGGTTTCTTATGTGACACAAAGTGAACTTAGTAGACCAGAGAATATGGCCCAAAGCGTATGTTTAATAATATATACCAATTGCAGGATGGGACCTTCAATTAACAGAGCCTTCAGTATAGAGAATTGGAAACAACAATGTAACATTCATTAGAAATTCATTAGATAAGATCTAATAATTGATAACCATTTGACATTAGAAAACCAAAAACGAGTGTAGATATGTGGACTTGACAGCTAGAGGGAGGTTTTTGTTTTAATTCACTAAGAGGGAATGAAATTTTAACATACTTTTCCCATTTTGCATTTCCTAAATCTTGCTAAATCAAGATCAGGTTATTGGAGAATCATTTGGCTTACAACTAATAATTTATTCTTCATATTTCAAAAAGTGTTGATTTTCCAATGGAAGACTTAACAACAGAACTAACAGTCCCAATGGTAAATTATAATTTGTGATGTCTTTAATTAATTTGCATATTTATTTCCAAATCTTCTCCATTTTAGAGTAAGACCGCTAAATAAGTAAGAAACCTCATTCCCCAAGTTCTGTCTTACAGTCATCTATTCCTTGTCATTGGTACTTTTTAATCTGACAGCTGGAAAGTACCACCACACCACTGAGAAAGCAATTTTATTTTTAAAGACGCTTTTTTGTATTTTGGGGACACAGAATTCTGAATGTATTTCTATTTCTCTACACACTCTTTTGTTCCCGGAAAAACAACATTTTCAGTAGCAATGAATCTAGTAATGCGTTATTGTCACTTGGAAAATATGAGAAAAATCCAAACAATAAGATCATCATTAAATATTTAAAAATAAATTATAAAAAGGCAGAAAGAAAGACAGGCCTTTGGAAGCCAGCAGGGAACGCAGGATATGTCTACACTACAAGTGCTACAATGGCAGAGCTGTAGTGGTATAGTCAATCCACTCCCTTGAGAGCCACTAGCTAGGTTGACAGAATTCTTCTGTCAACCCATCAGTCTACCGGGGCTTTGGTAGGCTTAATTTTTCACACTCCTGAGCAACGTAGCTAAGTCAACCTATGTTTTAGGTCTAGATCAGGTCTAAGTTTCTGGAACAGCTGAAGATGGAGCATGCTGTGAAGATGACATGCCGGCTATCAAAGGGAGGTAATGTTATGCTTTTCACACAGCAGTTTCTGTAGTCTAGATCATTAAGAGCACAACAAATATGTTTCTGCTTGAGAGGCAGTTCAACCCACCTTCCAAGTAATGCATTTGCATGCGTAGTGGGATATAAAGAAAAAAAAAGCCAAACAAGAGAAGAAAACATGAATTACAGGGAATTGGAGTAAGCTCCTCTTTCAGGGGATGCAAGAAATCAAGAATCAGAGATTCCATGCCACCGATATGTCAGACAAATGGGAGAAAAGACAGGGAAACTCCACTCAGGAACCTGAAAGGCTCACTAACAAAACTAGGTTTAACATGGACCCATTTTACAGGAACTGAAAAACGAATGAATTTCAGACTTATACATAGTTAGAATACTCAAACAAAAACAAAAAGCTGGAGAATTATCTTCAGAAGAATAACCTTTTCAGAGATACAGGAGTTAATTTTATACACGCCCCTGCAGCACTCAAAGAAATTAGGAACATCTTTCCAGGCTTCTAAACAAAATGCAGGTGATGGTTCCTGAGGACAGCTATTTCTCAGGGGCCAAGGCAGAAGGTGGGAGGAGAAGGGACATAGAAAATTCAATATAATCAACAGCATGAAGCATGCACATTCCCTCAGCTCAACACCCACCCACAGCAAATCAAAGCTTACAGCAGCATTACTTGCAGTCTGGTTATTCCTATATGCACCTGTGCAAAGGAAATTTAGAATTAAACACACAGCTAGGGATAATACAATTAAAGAAGATATACAGTTTTTAGAAAAATTGTGTGTTCCCCTATCATTAAATGATACTTTTTCTAGGGAAAAAAAATCAAATAAAATAGGATGCAATAATTGACTGGGCAAGAAACATTTCTCTAGTGACAACCTCATGGATAAAAACATTGTTAGATCCTTGGTGTGAAGGTACAGAAAGTTGTCTGCCTTCTATTTAAAAAGATAGGCTAGGATGATGAGAGGGCTGTGAATAAATAGGGGAACTTGCTCCAGGTCATGAAATTCCTAAATACCAGCCTCAGGAAAAGAACCATCAGCTTGAGATCCCAAAGCTTTTCTGGGAACCAGAATGGTAGGTTAAAGGAAGAGGGACCAAATGTTTCAATGTCTGAAACTATATTTCATTGCTAAAATAAGTGGGTCCATTTATGCTTTCTTCCCTAAAATTAAAATATACATATGTTCCCTGAGGACTTGTCAGGTTGATTGACAAGGAAAGCTAAATATTTTGTGGCACTTGAGTTTACGACAATTTGATTTTTTTCAAGACACACGAACATCTGTCTAATTGAGGCTGCCAAATGCAGTCTTCTAAGAAACCACAAAGCCCCACCCCTGGTTAAATCCAGATGGCATGTGAGTGCCTCAGAAGGTGGAGATACTGTGTGACTGGACTCTAAAATTAGGAGTTACACCAGTAAATTTATGGGGGTGAAATGTATGAATATTAGTTACACTTAGGGGTAAGGGAAAGGAAACACTCACCATGCTGAACAGCCTGACCTATAAACCAAGAACGATATTCTTCATGAAAAGCTTTTACTTCAAACAGCTGCTGTGCACTGCTATTGAATAAGTAGAGGGCAGCTTCTCCTGTTAAAAGAAATCTGGTTTGTATTTGTAAGCTTTCATGAAAATCAAAAGACCATCCAATATGTCTGAAGAACTTGCCTAATATATACATAAACATACATACATTCTACACACACTGTAACTACAAAGAAAGCTTAGACAAAGAAAACTATTATATACAGATGTTCGTTTACCAGCTCTATAATCCCTACTCAATTTTGAATCAATAAATAAGAAGTGTGAATAGTTCATCTTACAATGCAAAGCCTTTGATTCAAACCCAAATCAGATCACACAAGAAATTAGCTTTTGTCTGTACGGGAGGGGTTGGTGATAGTGAGAATCTCTTCTTTCTTTGTGTCTGTCTCGGAGTTATCTGACTCAGGGATAGGGAATGAGAGTCCCAACTCTTTTAAGCGTCATTTTGTTGTTTGTCATTTATTTTTGTGTGTTGGTACAGATGTAGGGAGATTATGGGTTAAATGAATTAGGTGACTGAGGGAGCTGAACAAGTGGGTTTCATTAGAAACTTGAAATCTTGGAGATGACAGAAATTGCTTTGTTTTAGGCCCCTTCACAAAATCCCCCTGCTTGTCATTGCTTCACGTGGACAAAGTGGAATGGATCATTCTTATGCCATATTAGTTTTGATTTCCAAATGCCAAATACATTATGAACAAGGCTGACAATCTCCATTACTATAATGGAAAGTCACTAAGACGTTGCTTTAGAAGTTGTATGATTTTGCAGACTTGGTTAGTTCTGGCTGATCTCTCAAGAGCACACATTGCATGGGTGTTTATACAATATTTGGAGACAACAATTTATTTATTAAAACATAAATATTCTAAAAAGATGCTAAAAGGGTGTTTTCTTCTCTATTTCAGACCCTGCACTCATACATAAGGTTACATAACCAAAGGTTTGCGCATTACAGATCTTTAAATAGGCTTCTGGTAATTCTATAATAAGTTACCCAGCTTCAGTGTCAACAACTACACTTAAAGATTTTCTCTAAAAGCCTTCCCCCACACTTTTCATTCTACAAATTAAAGAGATCACTTCCCTCCTTGGTAAAATATAAATTCTTATCTACTTTTTTTTCAATTCTGGTGACAAATTGGAAAGCCAATTCAGTACAGCAGATGGAAGTTGTGCATTGCTTTATATTCTGAAGCTAAGTTCTGAATATTTTTAAACAGAATTAATAAACTCTCTTCCCATTCTGCATCTCTTGTCTTTCACTAATCTCTTCCCTTAGGCACAAAGCAGAAACTAGCAGATTATCTGCACCTGTAATTAAGGTTCTCAGATGTGTTTTAATGTTATAAACATGAGTGGTGACATTTTAAAAAACCCAATGATCCTACCAAAAGCAAATGAATTTATGGATTGAAGAAATAACCTGAACCAGATTTTTTCAAACAAACTACTTTAAATGTGAAGATTTTCTGTTTAAATAAACTAAACAGGGTTTAATACTGTATACTTTAATGAAAAGAAAGTCTTAGACAAAGGCAGCTTTAAGATACACTAGCTATACAACCAAAGAAGAAAATGATTGTTTTGGAGATTGGAGGGAGGTTCATTAAATTTTCTACATATCTGTTTTTCTAATATGTTTCTAATTAAAGGTAAATCATCATCTACTGTCAAGAAAAGAGATACCACACTTTGGACTGAGTAAAAAGAAAATCATAGTTAAAAATGAAAAGGCTCAAAAGTTTGGCAAGTGTAATAAAAGCCTCTCCTAGCTGAATGTTTATTTTATAGGTGACTAGCTGAAGAATCTAAATTTGGATTTATAAGAAAGGCCTGTGGATCCCCAAAAAAACTAATGCATTTAAAAGACACACTTGAAATATACCACTTTTTTGTGCTGCCAATATTTCTGATGAACAGTTCAACCAATTAAAATTATAAAACAAATCCTAAATGTTTTAACTCAATTAACTACATGGCATCCTCAACAAAATCTCTGGCACATGAGATTAACCCTATCATCATTTCAGCTTGCAAAATATTAATTCTCTGGTAGAGATAAGGAGAGAATTAACCATAATATTAACAATGTCCTTAACTGTTGCAAACTTGCCTGTACTTGGATTACGCAGTCTTGTAAATAAAGGTCCACCATCAGGTTTCATAGGAAGATCAGTAACAGGCTCTGAAAAGAATTATAAAATTATAAATTGAGAGATCTTTCCCACCCCATCATACTTCACCAACATACTTGTCTGTATTAATTGGATTTACCTTTCAGGTACTGGTAATTTCCCCCTGAAAGCCACCCAGTATGTCCATTACATCAGAACACACAAATGGCCATGCTGGACAAGAACAATGGCCACCTAGCCCAGTATCCTGTCTTATGACAGTGGCAAGTGCCAGTGTTTCAGAGAAAATGGACAGCACAGGGCAATTTCCAATCATCCATCCCCCCGCCATCCACGCCCGGCTTTTGGAAATTGGAGGTTTAGGGACACCCAGAGCATGAGATTGCATCCCTAATATCTCTTATATATGCTCATATATCTTTTTAGAGATGGGGTGACAAAAACTGCACATAGTACTGCGGGTATGGGTGTTCCATGGATTTATACAGTGGTGTTATGATATTTTCAGTTTTGTTTTCTATCCCTTTCCTAATGGTCCTAACATTCAGTTAGCTTTTTTTCCACTCCTTTGATTGCTGCTGCACACTCAGTGGAGGTTTTCAGAGAACTATCCACAGTGCCTCCACAATCTCTTTCTTATGCAGTAACAACTCCTTTAGACATCATGGTTTTGTATGTATAGTTGGAATTATGTTTCCAAAAACGCACTACTTTGCCCTCATCAACACTGAATTTCATTTGCCATTTTGTCACAGTCACACAGCTCTGTGAGATCCCTTTGTAACTCTTCAAAGTCAGCTTTGGACCTAACTATCTTAAGTAATTTTGTATCATCTGCAAATTTTGCCACCTCATCATTTACCCCCTTTCCCAGACCATTTATAAGTATGTTGAACAGTCTGGTCCCAGCACAGATCCTTTGGGAACCCTCCTATTTACCTCTCTCCATTTATTCCTACCCTTTGGGTATGCCTATACTGTCATTAAAAACCCACAGCAGGCCAGTACCAGTTGACTCAAGCTCAGGGTGCTTGGATTAAAGGGCTGTTTAATTGTGGTGCAGACATTCAAGCCTGAGCCTGAACATCTACACCACAATTAAATAGCCCCTTAACCTGAGTCCTGGGAGTCAGAGTCAGCTGGCATGGGCCAGCCATGAGTGTCTAATTGCACTGTAGAGATACCCCTTGTTTCCTAGCTTGAAACCAGTTACCGATTCATGAGAGGACCTTCCCTCTTATCCCATGACTGCATACTCTGCTTAAAAGCCTTTGGTGAGGGACCTGTCAAAGGCTTTCTGAAAGTCCAATTACACTATATCCATTGGATCACCCTTGTCCATGTTTGTCGGCACCTTCAAAGAATTCTACTAGATTGGTGAGGCAGCATTTGCCTTTATAAAAGCCAACGCATTGTGTTCATCTATGTACCTGATAATTTTTTTGTTACCTAGAGATTCAACCAATTTCCTGGTACTCAAGTTAGGCTTACTGGCCTGTAATTGCCAGGATCACCTCTGGGGACTTTGTTAAAAATTGGTGTTCCATTACCTACCCTTCAGTTATCTGATACAGAGGCTGATGTAAGTGATAGGTATATCACAGGTAGTAGTTCTGTATTTTCATATCTGAGTTTCTTCAGAACTCCTGGGTGAATACCAAGTGGTCCTGGTGGCATATTACTGTTTAATTTAGCTATTTGTTCCAAAACCTCCTCTATTGACTTCTCAAGCTGTGAAAGTTCCTCAGATTTGTCACCTAAAAAAATGGCTCAGATGCAGGGATGTCCCTCACATCCAATACAGTGAAGACCAATACAAAGAATTCATTTAACATCTCCATAACGGACTTGTCTTCCTACAGTGCTCCTTTAGCACCTTGATTGTCCAGTGGCCCCGCTGACTGTTTGGTAGGCTTCGTGCTTCTGATGCACTTAAAAAAATATTTGCTGTTAGTGTGTCTTTTTCTAGTTGCTCTTCAAATTTTTTCTTGGCCTGCCCTAGTTTACGCTTGACTTGCCAGAGTTTATGCTCCTTTCTATTTTCCTCACTAGGACCCAACTTCCACCTGTTGGACCAGATCCTGTGTATCACTTAGAATTAAAACAAGAATTGGCTCTCCCTTTGTGGATTCCAGGACAAGCTGTTCCAACAAGCAGTTATTTATGATGTCTAGAAATTTTATCTCTGTGTCCCTTCCTGAGGTGACATATACCCAGTCAATATGAGGATACCTGAAACCCCCCCAATCATTAATTTGTTTTCTGTCTTTGTAGCCTGTCTAATCTCCCTGAGGATTTCACAATCACTATCACCATCCTGGTCAGGGAGCCAGTAGTAAATTCCTACTACTATACTCTGATTGTCCAAGCACTGAATTTCTATCCATAGAGATTCTATGGTACACTTTGATTCGTTTAAGATGTTTACTTTATGTGACTCTAGGCTTTCTTTCACATACAATGCCATGTCCCCACCAGACCTACTCTGTCATTTCTTCCATTGACTAGAAGTAATTTTCATTAGAAATCAGTTATGCTTGAAAATCAGGTTGGCATGCAGACGGGGAAAACATTGCAATGGTGCTGTCTTGCAGAAATAGATACCAAACCAACTTGGCCTTGAAATATTAAGAACCCCCTATTTAAATGGAACACATACAGGAGAGAATACTCAAGAATAAGAAGTCAGGGTAAGAAAGCATTACTTTTGTGGAAAGGGAATCAGATATAAGAGAAAAAGACCACATTTTGCAAGCCCTATAAAAGGCACAGAGATCTTTACTTACAAAGGTAACTGGATTGCCTTTTTTTTTTTTTTTTTTGAGGTTTTCAGCCCCATATTCAGTGAAAAAGATAATGTTGTTGCTAAGTTAATGGGCTTTCTTAAAAAGAAATATCAAAGCAGCTTTGTTGTTTCCAGGAAAACTAAGAATTAAAATGTGTCTTTTGTCTTAAGGTCTAAGACCCATAATTGGTTAAAAAAATTGGAGAATATAACTAAAAACCAAACCAAAGATGCAAGAGGTCTCTTGTTAAATCCTAAAGGAAGATGGATTATTTGCCACAATATACAAGAATAGTTTTTATAAACTCTGCCCCAAAGGGCTGCTTTTATATGAGCAAAAAACAAGTTAGTGAGTGTATGCAAGGTCTTTTGATTAGAAATTATGCCTTTCAATTAATTATACTGCACCTAGACACTGTACCAAGATGGAGGCAGGTAGACAAAACTGCTCACCCAGTAAAGGTGGGTGTATTAGCAACAGATAAACTAGACAACTGTTCATCCAGCACAGCATTTAGAATATGACTACATTACAGATTCACTCAAATATATAGTGCCTTTATAACCCTAACAAGGTAAATAAGAAGTAAGCATAATGTGTTTATGGGGCTGTTTAAATAAATGTTAAAACTGGTTTTATGCAGCATTGTTGTAGCTGTGTTAGTCCCAGGGTATTAGAGAGACAAGGTGGGTGAGGTCATATCATTCACTGCAGTAGCTCTCAACCTTTCCGGACTACTGTACCCGTTTCAGGAGTCTGATTTGTCTTATGTACCCCAAAGTTTCACCTCTCTTAAAAACTACTTGCTTACAAAAATCAGACATAAATACAAAAGTGTCACAGCACACTGTTACTGAAAAATTGCTTACTTTTTCAGTTTTACCATATAATTATAAATCAACTGAAATATAAATACTGTACTTACATTTCAGTGTATAGTATATAGAGCAGTATAAACAAGTCATTGTCTGTATGAAATTTTAGTTGGTACTGACTTTGCTAGTGCTTTTTATGCAGCCTGTTGTAAAACTAGGCAAATATCTAGATAAACTGATGTACCCCCTGGAAGACCTCTGTGAACCCCCAGGGATACACGTACCCTCGGTTGAGAACCACTGTCTTATTGGACCAACTTCTACTGGAGAGAGAGAGAAAAGCTTTTGAGCTTTTTTTATTACCTTTTTTATATTACCTCATCCACCTTGTGTCTCTCTAAAATTGGTTTTGCTATAAATCATTTAAGATATATGCTACGGTAATCTTTGCAGTATTCATCAAGTAACACTAAACAGTTTTAAAAAAATGCTTTGAGATGGACACGTCATTTTCACTGAAGTCTACAAAGTGAATTTCACAACTTACTCTATCCTGAACCTGATTTAAGAGAGGCTATAAAAGCTTCGAAAATGTGCAGCACAGCAGGTACACTAAACGGTAATCCCAGCACCCTTACTTTCTATCGTCATGCATTCCCTCACATGAAAGCCTCTCTCAGTTTAACACAGGCCAAGTCTAAAATAATACCAGAATAAACAATTAAAGCTTTTTAAAAGTGTCCAGACTTCTTTCACATTTAATGAAAACGCTCAGGTCATCTGATGACTTTCACTTGCCCGACTCATTCCTAAAATCTTGCGGGAAACCTTATCACATTTCCTGGAGGTCAGACATACAACCAAATTCCATATTATATAATGGTTATTGTTACATGACTAAATTGGAAGTGCATTTTATTTTTATTTTTCTTTAATTCAGACTGGTGAAATTGACCCTTGATGTTCTGACAGCTGCTAATCGCTAGCTCCACCTTTCATTTCATCACAGCCCTTGAATCCCCCTGGCAGGCCAGTTTCTCTCCGTGCCAACACCAGGCCCAATGCAGTTCTGCGTTATACTTCTACTACATGAAGGAGCATACAACCCCACCAAGCTACATGAAGCAATAATGGATGACCCAAAATCTATTTTTATAAGCAAATTTTAGAAATGAATACTCTGTTTAACAGACTGGTATCAAAGGATATGGAATTCTCAGGCAAAGAGATGCCATTAAGGTTAGCCTTAAAAGAACATTGAGGGGTTTTTTTTCAAAAGAAAGGCTCATTAAAAAGTCTGGAACTACAAAGTTAAGATTTCATTTAAAAACAGATATTAAAACATATGGATTTATCTAGTTTAAAGTCATCTACATAACTGGATTTTCTTCAAATCCCAGCAGTACTGCCAGCCCATGCAGCCTTTGCACATTGTTTATAACATGGGAA